GCGAGGCCTCGGTGTGCCGCGCGCGCGGCGACGCGATCGGGCGAGGACGATGGATGATTTCAAACGTTCGAGGGACTCTTCGACGAGTCATGACTCGTTACATGGACCCAGCACACGCACGGGGCCACACGCGCGTGTGTGTGTTCCCGTGATGGTCTATATCCACGTACACTACGTACACGTACGAATACATGGGGTACACCGACGATGAATACGCACGCCGAAAGATCCACCGACGTCATCGCGCGCGCGACGTCGACGCAGCGCGACGCGCGATGGCGACGAAGCGCGCGAAGACGGCCGCGAGGGACGATGACGACGTCGTCGACGCCGCGCGCGCGTCGGAGGAGGAGGACGGACGCGGCGTGGGCGGTGATGAGACGAATGATGATGGATGCGATGCGACGCGCGACGCCCCGTTGCTCGTGCGCGCGGACGCGGAGGCGTCGTACGACGATCTCACGGGCGCGGCGTTGACGGGCATCGAGGCGCGGGCGATCGAGGCGGAGAAGGAGCTGGTGGCGGCGAGAACGGCGAAATCGCCGGAGAAAGGGACGGGTGGGGACGCGCGCGAGACGAAGCTGGATGAGCGCAAGTTTAAACAGCTGGACGCGTTGTTGGATCAGACGACGATTTATTCGCAGTTTTTGAGCGAACAGATGGATACGTTGGAGGAAGAGGAGGGTGGTGCGAGCGGGCGGAGTCCGAATGGGACGAATGGGAAGCGTGGGACGGATGGGAAATCGACGACGCTGGGAAAGCGGAAAAAGATGAGCGAGCAGGAGGAGTTGGAGGCGACGAAGAAAATGCTTCCGCTCATGGAGGGCGGATCGATGCGGGATTATCAGTTGAAGGGAGTGAAGTGGATGATTTCGCTGTATCAGAACGGGTTGAACGGGATCTTGGCGGATCAGATGGGTCTGGGGAAGACGGTGCAGACGATCGGTTTTCTCTCGCACCTGCGATCGAAGGGCGTCTTGGGGCCGTACTTGGTGATCGGTCCGCTCTCGACGCTGAGTAACTGGGTGAGCGAATTTCAGCGATGGACGCCGTCGATTCCGGTTATTTTGTACCACGGCACCAAGCAAGAGCGTGCGGAGAAGCGCATGGAGCACCTGCCGACTACGACTCCGATCAAGCCCACGTTTCCAGTCATCGTCACCTCGTACGAAGTCGTCATGGCGGATCGAAAGTTTTTGCAAAAGTACAATTTCAAGTATTTGGTCGTGGACGAGGGTCACAGATTGAAGAACTTTGATTGCAAACTCATTCGTGAGCTCAAGTACATTCCGACGGCGAACAAGCTGTTGCTCACTGGGACGCCGCTGCAAAACAACCTCCCAGAGCTGTGGTCGCTCTTGCACTTCTTGCTCCCAGACGTCTTTAGCTCGCTGTCGCAGTTCCAGTCTTGGTTCGATTTTGCGGACAACATCGGGAATGAGGATGAAACGCAAGCGGACGTTGACAAGAATGAGCAAGAGCATCGCGCCCGCGTCGTGCAGAAGTTGCACGGGATTTTGAGACCGTTCTTACTGCGCCGATTGAAGGGTGACGTCGAGCTTTCGCTCCCGCGCAAAAAGGAAATCCTCCTGTATGCGCAGATGGTCCCCAAGCAGCGCGATTTCAACGACGCGCTCGTGAATAAGACGATGCAGGAACTGTTGCAACAAGTCGCCGGTAGTGGTCGCATCCCAGTCGGACACACCGCGGTGAACAATTTGCTCATGCAGTTGAGAAAAAATTGTAACCACCCAGATCTCATCACGGGCGGCTTGGACGGCTCGATCATGTTCCCGTCAGCGGATGAACTCGTGGAGCAGTGCGGTAAGATGCAATTGCTCGACCGCTTGATGAAGAAGCTTCGCGCGCGCGGACACAAGGTTTTGGTTTTCTCCCAGATGACGCGCATGTTGGACTTGCTCGAGTCGTACTTTCAACAACGCGGAGAAAACGTTTGCCGCATCGATGGCTCAGTCAAGCAAGACGACAGACGCGAATTCATCGCAAAATTCAACACCGATCCCGATTACGGAATCTTTTTGCTCTCCACGCGTGCCGGAGGTTTGGGGATCAACCTCACCGCCGGGGACACGGTCATCATTTATGACTCAGATTGGAACCCGCATCAAGACTTGCAGGCGATGGATCGCGTGCACAGAATCGGTCAGACCAAGCCCGTGCACGTCTACCGCCTCGCCACGGCGAAATCGGTGGAGGGCAAGATGTTGAAGAAGGCGGCGTCCAAGCTCGCGCTCGAAAAGCTTGTCGTCACCGGCGGCGGTTTCAAGCAAGAGAAGACGGATGGCGACCGCGCGTTGGGCGCCGAAGAGCTCATGGCCCTCCTCAAGGGCGAGACCGCCCCAGGAGACGAGGACTTACCGCAGAGCGCAAACATTTCCGACGCCGACCTAGACGTCATCCTCGACCGACGCGATTTACTCGGTGAGATCCCACCCAACCCGGAGCGCGGCGTCGGATGGGAAGACGTCGAGGATCGTTCCGGAATGAGTCTCCTCGGTAACGTCTCCGAGACTTGAGACGCCCGTCGCGTGTCATTGAAACACATCATTCAATCATCTCTCGCCGTCACGTCCTCCCGAGCGCCCCACGCGTGCGCCTCCCGTCATCCGCGCGTCGCCCGCCGCGTCGCCCGTCGCCCGCGCCCCGCACTCGTCGCCCCACCGTCCCGATGCCCAACGCCAAGCCCGCGCGCCTTCGCGGCGGCGTCCCACACGCCCGCGCGATGATCCGCGGGGACCCACTGCTCATCCCTCGCGTCGAGGCGTTCGTACGGACCGTTGAAGATGCGAATGATTCACCGGCGGCGGCTGAACGCGCGCTTCGAAACGTCGACGCCGTCGTTGAACACCTCCGTTCGACGTACGCGGCGTACGCGCGGGTCAAGGTGAACGTCTTTCGGAAGACGGTCGAGCGCGCGTGCGACGCGGCGAGAGAACGGGCGGCGGAGCGACGAATTCGGGACGACGGCGCGAAGGCGCGGATGAAGACAAACGACGACGACGACGCGGAGGACGACGACGACGACGACGACGAATCGGCGCGCGACGGCGACGGATCGAGCGATGACGAATCGATCGATGTCGCGTCGTCGAGCGAGGACGGTTCGGGGTCGGGGTCGGAGAGCGATGACGGGAGCGACTCGGACGCGGCGGCGGACGCGGCGGAGGCGAGACGAGGCGACGATGGTGCCGGACCGGCGACGATCGGGGCGTTCGCGGCGCCGGAGGTGGTCGCCGCGGCGGCGCAGAGGGCGCTGAAGTTGGAGAGAGAGGAGGCGGAGGGGAAGAAGGGGAAGGGGAAGCGGGAGGAAGAGAGCGCGCACGAACGCGCGGTTCGCATCATGGCCGAGGCGAAGGCGCGCGGCGACGTCGTGAGCGCGAGCGATCGAGGGATGAAGATCGAGCGAAAGGCGAAGAGTGAGGATAAGAAGCGTGGGAAGAAGGGTAAGGGTCATCGGCGCAAGCGCCAGGGTAAAACTGGGAGCGATAGCGAGAGCCTGGACGAGGACGAGTTTGGCAGGACGGCGGCTGTCAAGGCGTTCGCCCAGGCGACGTCGCCTCGTCCGGTGCGACTCTCTGATTTGGGTGGGATCGAGGACTCTTTGCACGCCATCAAGGAGCTCATTTTGTGCCCGCTCATGCACCCGGAACTGTACGCTTGGCTCGGGGTCGACCCACCGCGCGGCGTGCTCCTTCACGGACCACCAGGATGCGGCAAGACGACGCTGGCGCACGCCATTGCGCAAGAGGCGAGAGTGCCGTTTTTCTCGATCGCCGCCACTGAAATCGTGAGTGGGATGAGTGGTGAGTCTGAGGCGAAGATTCGTGAGCTATTTCTCACCGCGCGCGCAAACGCTCCGTCGCTCATCTTCATCGACGAGATCGACGCCATTGTGCCAAAGCGAGAGAGCGCGCAGCGAGAGATGGAACGACGGATCGTCGCCCAGCTGTTGGCATCCATGGACGAGCTTCAGTCTAACATCGATGCCACCGATGAAGTCGACCGCATAGCCCGATGCCGTCGGCATGTCTGCGTCATAGGCGCCACGAATAGACCGGATGGTATGGACGCGGCGCTTCGTCGAGCCGGGCGGTTTGATCGCGAAATTATGCTCGGTATCCCCGACGAAGCCGCGCGCGAACGAATCTTACGCGTTCAGGCGACGAAACTTCGCCTTAGCGGAGACTTGGATCTTCGCGAGATCGCGAAGAAGACGCCTGGGTATGTCGGTGCGGATTTGTCTGCGCTTGCAAAGGAAGCCGCGGCGTCGGCGGTGACGCGCATCTTTAGAAAGCTCGAGGACAAGGAGGAAGGTAAGGACGAAGCGATGACCGACATTTCGACCGGTCCTACCGTCGGCGGTGACGCACGACTCGCAACTGGACGCTTGGCGGATCCCCGACCGCTCACGGAAGACGAACTAGGGGACTTGGCTATCACCATGGATGATTTCTCTCTTGCTCTTACACGAGTGCAACCGTCGGCGCAGCGCGAAGGTTTCACAACGACACCAAACGTGACGTGGGACGACGTCGGCTCGCTCACGGAAGTTCGAGAGGAGCTGAAGTTTTCAATCGCTGAACCGATCGCACACCCTGAGCGTTTCCAAGCGATGGGTCTCAACATTTCTACTGGCGTCTTGCTGTACGGTCCTCCCGGTTGCGGCAAGACGCTCGTGGCCAAGGCGACGGCGAACGAGGCAATGGCCAACTTCATCTCCATCAAGGGACCGGAGTTACTTAATAAGTACGTCGGTGAAAGCGAACGTGCGGTGCGAACGCTGTTCCAGCGCGCGCGAAGTGCATCGCCATGTGTACTCTTCTTTGATGAGATGGACTCCTTGGCGCCGCGTCGAGGGAGCGGAGGCGACAACACCTCGGCGGAGCGCGTGGTGAACCAGCTACTCACCGAGATGGATGGTTTGGAAGCGCGAAACGCGACGTTTCTCATCGCGGCGACGAATCGACCGGACATGATTGATCCCGCCATGCTTCGCCCCGGACGTCTCGACAAGCTTCTCTACGTCCCGCTTCCGCCTCCGGATGGACGCGCAGCGATCCTAAAGACGCTCACGAGGAAGACCCCGATCGCAAACGACGTAAATATTGACGCGATCGCGCTCAGTCACTCGTGCGAAGGATTCAGCGGTGCCGACTTAGCGTCACTCGTTCGCGAGGCGTGCGTCGCCGCGCTGAAAATGATGACCATCGACGCCACGCCTCGGGTCACCGCCGCACACTTCGAGGAAGCCTTCACCAAGGTCCAACCGAGCGTGAGCAAAGCCGATCACGCGCGCTACGACGAGCTTCGTCGCAAGCTCCGCCGCGAGCGTGGGACGATCAACAAGGCGCACAGCTCGGCGTCCATCGAGGACCTCGCCGGGCCGCCAAAGAAATCGTTACGCGATCCGGACGAGGACGACGAACCCGAGCTCGCGACGAACAAGCGCGCTCGCGGATAATGTGGTCATATGTAAATTGTTTCGTCAAACGCACCGTTTTCCTAAAACTCCCGCGCATTGAATCCCATTTATCATCGCGCCGTCGTCACTCTATCCACAAATTCACAAAATCGAATTTGCAGCGCCACACCCGCGCGCGTGTCGCCCCGACGTCTCCGTGCACGAACGAAATCGCGCGTTCGAAATAATGTTCACCATCAGTGAATCGGTCGTCGTCCCGCGTCGCCATCGTCCCGGGCGAGCGCACAAACGAAGCGATCGCTGTCAAAGCATCGCCGCGTCAGCAGTGAACACAAAAAACAACTCCGGCGAGAACACCGTCGATCTCGCGCTCGGACGACGAATCGCGCTCGCGACGGGCGTTATTGGGACCATTTTAACTCCCGGGGCGGCGCGAGCGGGGAAGAGATTAGGCGGTGGACCCACCGGGGGGATCCCCTTGGAGAACTTTGTCCCGGTGCGTATTCATAGCGAGCGAGCGAGAGACGTCGAGGACTGACTCGGGCGCGTTTCGACGTAGATTCCGGGAACGAGCCCGCCGATTTTATATTACGATATTAAGGGCGCGAGTGGGGCGACCGGGGGCGTTCCGAAGGGCGCGCGTGTCGCCGTGCACTACGACTTGAAGTTTAGAAATATCACCGTCGGCACGAGCCGCCAGGGCGCTGGCGTGACGGGCGGGACCCCGATTGGTTTTACCGTTGGAGCGCCCGCAGGGACGTCGGGCGGACCGTTCATTAAGGCGTTCAACGAAGGAATAAAAGGTATGGGCGTCGGCACCGTGCGGCGCTTGCTCGTGCCGCCTGAGTACGCGTACGGGCCGAATGAGGTTTTGGAAATCCCGGCGAACGCGAGCGTGACGCTGGACATCGAGCTCTTGTCTGTGGCCAAAGATCCGATCACTCGAGGCGTCAAGGGTGCCGTCGCGGAATAAATTATGCGTGCGTATTTTGTATTTCAAGAATCCCCCACCAATCAATTCAATTTTTGAGGTCAGACACGCCCGGTGATGTCCGTCACCAACTCGTCGCTAAATGTTTTGTTCTTTTGAAAGTGACGCATGTGCAAGATCGGGACGCATCCTTGAGACGCGATCGACGGACCCGTACCATCTTCGCTCTCGTACTTGCGCGGCTCCTGCGCCGCGAGCATAGCCTCACCGGCAGCGGACCCGACGCGGTCGCACATCTTCATCAACGCATCGTACGAGTTCATCTTCATGTACGGACACGACGCGCACCCACCGTCGAGCGAGCATCCTTCGCCAGAGAGCACACCCGGGACGACGGGGATATCGGCATCGCCCGTCGCCGCGACGGCGTCGCTTGAAACGGGGAAGACAATTTCAGCCTCGACGCCGCACACACCTGCATCGCACGCTGAACGAAGTCGCGCTTGCACCGCGCGCACGATGGACGTGACCATGCCCGTCTCGGTGCCAAGAACGAATCTCAGTCGCTCGCCCTCTGGCAACGCTCGAGCAATAGCCTCATCCACTCTCGCACACGTGTAATCTAAAATATTCTGCGTCGATCCGACGACGCCCAATCCGCGATCCTTCGCCTCCATGGCAAGCTTAAACATCTCGCCTGGGACCTCAAAGTGCGCGGTTTGGTACGCGTCTCCGTAATACGCGCGAACAGTCTCGCACACATCTCGGCCGAACATATCGTGCACCATACACGTGCCGTCGTCAAAGTACTTCAATCGAGGCAAGAGCGACTTGACCGTCTCCCTGTCGTGTGCCGGATGCATCTCCTTGATCTCTTCGTCGCTCCAGGTGGTCATCCGGCGCAAGAGTTCGGCCAAGTTCCCACCCATGTACGTATCCGGACCGTAAAATACGTTCACGTCCGGAATCTGCGCCGCCGCTTGCAGAACCGTCGCCACGACGTTGGATGACGTGCACGTAATGGTCGGAATCTTTGCGTTCGCCCCAGCCTTGGTGTCGAGTCCGGTGTTGATGTAGATGACGTGCACGCCGTTTTTCGTCTTCCCCGCCTCGGTGAGGTAGCGATCGTAGCTCTCGCTCTGCGCCGCTTCGGCGAGAGAGCACCCGATGTCCTCCGCCGCCATGCGGTACACCTTGGCCTCTGGATGCCCAGCTTCATCGATGATCGCCCGCACGTTCTCGGACATGAAATCGACGCCCAAGACGCCGACGGTCTCGCACCCAGACTCCACCATCTTTACCGCGAGATCGGCCATGACGAGCGAGTCGCTGATCGCGATGTGCGGGTACTCCGCCTTTGCCGCCATCAAGATGCCCTGAACCTCGGGGTCCATGTAAAAGTGCGCGACGATGCCAATCTTCTTCGTCCGCAGCGCGTCGACGAGCGCCTTGACCTTCCCAACGTCCGGCTCTAAGTACGACGCTTGCGACGCCGCGAACGATCCTCTCGAACGAACCTCGCTCGCTGTGATGATCAAGCTCGGGAACGGGTCGCCGCCCGCGCTCGACGTCGCCGCCCGCAGCTGCTTCTTCGCCGTCTCCAACATATTCTTAAACCCATTCACGCGCGATTTCTCAACCTTGGACCCCAACCCGATCTCCATCGCGTCCACGAATCCATCGCTCATCGTCAACGCGTCCTCGACCGCGCTCCCATTCAGGACGCCGCACAACACGCGTCCGTACCCGCGCGTCACGTCGCTCTCGCTCGCGCACCGCGCGCGCACCTTTCCCGCACCGTCCACGCTCGCCTCAATCCAGCTCGCGCTCGCGCATCCCATCACCCGCGTCACCGCGTTCCTCGCACACGCCTCTTCGATCCCACCGGGCGAGCGCGCCAGGCGAATCAACGCCTTTACCCGCGCGCTCGCGTCCGCGCCGCCGTCCCGCACCTCCGCCGCCGCCCGCATCGCCCGCGCCTCGCACGTCTCGCGCACCGCGTCCGCGGCGCTCGACGCGCGCGCGCACCGACGATCGTTCCCACGCCGTCGTCGTCCATCGCGCGCCGTCGTCTTCGCGCCGGCGTCGTCGCGAGCCGTCGCATCGCCGCCGCCATGACGTCGCGATCGATCCC